CTATAGGTGCTTTCTTTTTTTGTTTGTTTTTGCTTAAATTCTTCTATTGGTACATTTTAGGTATACAATACATTTACATTTATCACTGGGTGCTTGTACCTGTACATTATGTATCATGGTTCTTATTTTTTCCCCATTCCCCTGCTCTCCCTTCACCCCCTCCTCCCTTCCCTATTTACAAAGACTTTGTTTCCATTTTTTCCTTTTCTTATAATTTTTCCTTTCCTTTCTTTCCTTTCCCCTTCCCCTTCCACTTCCCCTACCCTTTTGGACCTTTTCTTCCTTTTTTAAATTATCAATTATTCATTTTAATCATTTTAATCCTTATTTACACTTTCAGTTTCTCACTATAGGTGCTTTCTTTTATTAGCATTTCCCTGGATTATTTTTTCCACCCTTGACTTTTTGTTTTTCTTTGTTCTTATGTTTTAAGAGTATCTCTTTTGAATACATATAATTAGATTTTTAAAAATTTATTCCAATTGTTTTCATCTTTTGCTGGAGAGTTAAGTTCATTTATCTTTAGTATTATTGTAAATATATTTAAGTAAGCTTCTTCTTTTATTGTGCTTTCAATTTGTTGCACTTTTTTAAAGTCCTTTTTTGGAGGGGGAGCCTAGCGGGATAGCCCAGTGGTAAAATGTGTGCTTCTTTGGTTTAATCCCCAGCACCAAAAATAAAAATAAAAAATTTAAAATTCCTTTTTGAAATCTTTCTTACCTTCTTTTGGTTTATTTTTTGCCAACTTCTTTTTTTATCATCTTTAGTCTTTTCTGTTTGGAAGTTATACGCTCTGTGCCCATTCTTTTAGTTGTTATTTAGCTATTTAAACATGCATGCTTACCAGAGTCTGAAAAATTATCAATAGTTATCTTTTCTTCCAAAAATTCCAAGGCCTTAAAAGTTCTTTATCTTTGGGCTGGAGATTTAGCTCAGTGGTGCTGCTCCTGCCTTGTAAACACAGGGTCCTGAGTTCAATCCCTGATACCAAAAAAAGAAAAAAAAAATTCTTCAACTTTGATTACCTGCTTGCAAATAATATGCTATTGTTGTCCAGGCTTTAAACCTTGGCATTAAGTGATTCTGGGAAAAACATCTGAGAATTCATAGCCATATATTAGACTGACATGCGTTTGTGTAAAACGTGTTTTACATTTATGCTAACTATGCAGTCCAAAAATGATTAAACAACTAATTTAATGTAGAACAGTCTCAGGTTGATAGTGCCCTCAAAGCAGCTCAGAGAAATAAATGTGTATCATCTCTAGAGGAACATGATTTGAACCCAGGCCTCAAAGCATTCCCACAGATAAATGTTCAAAGAAAATAATCGGTTCATGGACAAATGGCACAAAATCCCCACAAGGCAACACGAGCAAGAATCAACAGAAACAATGCACAGCAGAAAAAGACTTACAAAGTCTTCTAGTATTGTAATTATATCACACAGAATAAAAAAACAACTATGTTCCATAAATTTAAAGAAACAAGCAAGAAGTTCTAAAATAGATAAGAAATTTTGGTAATTTTGACTCAGAAAAGAATCAGATGGAACTTCCAAAAGGGAAAAAATAAATACCATATTGTGTTGATTGTAAAACAGGATTGATTATAAGATGCACCACAGTTTTATGTGCCACCAGAAATACTGCCACTTATTACAAGATGTGAGAATGCGGGGGAAATTTGTTTCAGCATGGATGCACTGTGGCAACTGAAAATTAAAACTTAGCAGATCAATGAGACTGCAGATTACATTTGGCTGATAAAAAAAACAGTCAACAGGAATAAAAAAACAAATATTTGATATAAATAAGTGATCTAGAATGTAGTCCAGAGAGAAAATGAGGTGGAAATATAACAGAATGGTTCAAAGACTTGGAGGATAGCATGAGAAGGCCTAACATCTGTCTAATCAAAAGTTCTAAAAGAAGGTAATGGAGAGTGCAAGAGTACATTAAAAATATAATGGCTGAGAAAGTTTGAAAACAATGGAAACAGAGCAATATCCAAATACAGGAAACTAAATCATCCTCAAGGTGGATAGAACAAAGAAATCCCTACCTACATATATTATGGAGTTCTGAAGACTACATGATAATAAAACTACAAAGCATCAAAGGCAAAGCAATCTTTAAAGCAAATGGGAATGGAAAAGATCGCTTTCTAAAGAACACAAAAGTAAACTAACTGATTAAACAGCAAAACTGGAAGCCAGAGACTGTGGGATAATATTTTCAGTGTGCTGAGATGAAAACAATAACTTATACCTAGTAAAATTCTTTCAAGAATGAGAGAGAAATGAAAATTTTCAAATAAATAAAAACAGGGACAAATATTCTGTTCAAGAAAAGTTTTAAAAGACAGACTTCAAGCAGAAGAAAATGATTCTAGATATGAGGTGTACATTTAGGAAGAAAATGCAGAACTCTGGCATTCTGAGAAAATCCTCAGAGGAAAGCTTGCTTACCTCTCAGGTGTCTGTCAGCTTTTATGACTTTTGGGGAATTTGTAAATGCTTGCTTTTGTGCTGAACCAGTGATGCATTTTTTAAAAGTTATTAAAAATATGTTATCTAATTTTTAAAAATCCTGCACTTAAGTTGTCTCATTTGGACAGTAGTGTGTCGATATCTAACTTGCCCACCCACAGGAAATAAAAGTCCTCCAACAAAATGTCTTTAGGGAAACCTTCCCTCAGTCCATGTGGACAGTGTTCAGATTCTCTGTTCACACGCACCCGCTCTTTTAGCACATAGAGCAGCTCTATTTTTACATCTACCTGTATGCTCTTTAATTACCTACTTACTACGTTAGAAATATCAAGGCCAGGGCTATGTTGTTCTCTATTTACTCTCAGACCTGTGTAAGGCCCTGGCACATAGTAGGTGTTGAGTAGATATTTATTGAGTAAATGATTAATGAGCAGTTAACTATGAGTGAAAAATCAATACGAGCCCCCCCAAAACACATCTGTGGGTCTCTGCATCAACTCCAGCTATCAGAGGCAGTGCATTTAACGCTGGTGAATTCCCTTTGAACTCTGCTGTGCAACACGATAGCCATTCACCACATGTGGCTATTTAAATTTTTAATGAATTAAAATTAGATAACATTTAAAGTTCAATTCCTCAGTCACACTAGCCACGTGTCAGGTGTCTAGTGACTACCTTATTGGACAGCCTGAGCATGGAATATTTCCATCATCACTGAACATTCTATTGGAAGTGCTGCTGTAGAATTCTCAAGAATTCCTAAAACTGCTTCTCTCTGTCTCTCTCCTTCTCTCTTTTCTTCTCTCTCTCTCTTTTGTTCTTGCTCTCACTCTTTTTTTCCCTCTCTCTCTCTCCCATCCCTAAACCAAGTACACAGACAGTTGTCTCATTGTTAGTAACTTAAAATGATGCTTTTGAACAAGACGATGCTGGGCGCTTTCAGTGACTAGTACCATCCCCACCTTTTTCTTTTCAATTCCTAAGCTATTGTTTACCAGCACGATCTTTTATTCCCATTGCTACTAAAGCAGCTTGTTCCTTGAGTGGAAGGCATAATTGCTTTCTTTTCTAGGTCCTTAAACCCTTCGCTAATGTTACTGTCTGCGAGAGTTCCCGAAGCTGGGGTTCTAGGAGACTTCAGTGCATCTGAACAGCTGACCCATGAAATAATGGAATAAGGGAGCAGAAGTGGGGAGTGAGCAGGGCATTCTGTCAATAGACGAGCTTTCCTCTCCGCACACATGGCCGGTTAATTGGCCATTCTGGGAAGGGATGCATGGGGAAGGGGCGTCTGAGAATCACCAGTGACAGTTAAGTGGCCTTTTGTTGATGTCTTCTATGGGACAACTTTGTTGCATTTGTCTCTGCCTTTCCTCTACCTCCTGTGGATTTTCTGTTAGATTCATCATTTCCATTCAGGCATCATCTTTTCCTTTATCCTTCCAATATGACGGCTTTGTGTGCTGCTTTATTCTTGCTATTTCCAGACTATAAAGTGGACTGTGTGGGGCTCCAGCAGGATGGAGAAACGGTCTGTAATAACGACTGCCGTGGTCTTCATATCCTGTGCAAAACACACTGCCTGTCCCGACAGAATGGTGATTCCCTGAAGACAGAGACAGGGATCTCGGGCAAATTGCTTCTCATAGAATATATATCTCCTCCCCTCCCCTCCCCTCCCCTCCCCTCCCCTCTCCTCTCCTCTCCTCTTCTTTTCTCTTCTCTTCTTGTCTCTTCTCCTTCTCCTGGCTACAGAGTAGGGACATGAAAGGCAGCTGAGATTAAGAGTTAATGCCTTTGAAATAATAATACATTATGTTTTCTAGGCTTTGCCAAGCCAGTTCACCCAGGTTGTCTCATCTAATACCCCCCAAAGCCTCAGAGGTAGGGAGGAGAGGTGTTATTAACCTCACCTGACGGACAAATTAGTTTACTAAGATTTAGAGAAATGAGATCAGCAGCCCCAGATGTTTTAGACAGGAGCTGAGCCCCCAGTTCTCTGTCTCTGAGCCCAGGAACCTTTCAAAGACACGCACGCCCTTATTATGTTAGGAGGATGTGGCCTGGGGACAGTGTGCGTGGACAGGGAAGGAGAAAGAGTGCAAAGGAGCCAATTTGGTAGAGAAGGGAAGAAAGGAGTGACGTTCTGGGGCCGCTAGCTGCTCCTCTTTTCCTGGAGATGGAGGACTTGAGGCTCACAATGAGGCTGACCCAGTCACTGTCCACACCCCCCCACAGAGGAAAGAAAAGCTGAGGGCCTTTTGTCCTCTTTCTCTCTTCCTCTTCCCTTTTGCAGGAGATTCACCTGGGGAGGGAAGGGTGGGCGGTTGGCCTGGTTCTCCCAAGTCCTGGCACGTCGGAGGCATGCTGGGTGCCTCCCCCTGACAGAGCCTAATGCCCTTCTCAGGCCAGGGCTGCCAGCTATTTTTAGGTACTGTGCTGCTCTGAGGCCTGGGCCATTCCTGGGCGTGTGGAAAGCTCTGGAAGCTCACCTGGAGTAAGAAGCATGCAGGGCAATGAAAGACGAGGCCCAGGCCCCAGGCTGCCCCCTGTGGACAGGTGGATGCCTCTGCTCTGCAGCTTTATCCTGGCAGCAGCTTGGGGTCAAATGAATTTCACAGGGTAAGTGATCACTCCTCAGCGAGAGGGAGGATGGACTCAGAGCAAGGGCACCTGGCTGTCCCAACAGCTATATGTGTGTGGCTGTCTTGCTGGGACTGGATCAAAGCAGAGAAGTTAGGACATCTATCCCCATCTAGAACCCACTTTGGGCTTCCTAGCGTCTCACTCTTTTGCTCCATGCCCCTTGGTGGTGTTACTATCTCTTCCCAAATCTGGGATGCAGGGATAATTTTCAGGGTTCTAAGAATACCCTGAAATCACATGTAATAGTATATGTATTTCTTTGGCAGATGAAAAGTTCATATTTTCCCTTAGATTCTTAAGGAAGTTAGTAAACTCCCACAAAACTATGTACTCCTACCAAAAATGGTGTGGTATTGTCCTCCTTTGAGTAACAGAAAGTTTTAGTATGTACATATCCTGGGCCCTCTGTGAACATGAGCCTCCCAAAGATCCCAGAAGGTAGATACCCCACAGATTCTCCGTGGTGGAGAAGAGGAGACACAGCTCAGAGAGGAGGTTCGTTACCCATGGTCTCAGAGAGTCAAGGAGAGAACTAATACCACCCCAGGCATCAGGTGCTGGTGGGCACACTGCAGGTGCTGGTTTTTGGTATCCTATCCACCCAGCTGGAAGGGAAGGAGGAGCTCAGGTTCTCCCACTAAAGTGGGATGGAGTTGTCTGATCTCCTCTTCCATGGGGTTTGGGTACACCGTGGCCTAGTATGAAGAGCAGTTGGGGCTGCCATTGGTTCCTCCAGCCCCTGTATCTATTCCTTTTGTTCTGTATGTGTGTGTGGATGCGCACACCCAAACATGTCAGTCCTCATAGTCCTTTCCTACCCTTTCCCTGTCTCAGCTTTAGGTTCATCAGTAACACTGACAGGCTTTAGTTAGTCTCCTGGGTGGTCTGGCCTGGGGGCTGGAGAGACCCCTGGCTTTAGGCTGAAGAGCTGCCTGTCTCCTAGAGCTCCAAGTCCTTCCTTCCAGGCCCTTAGCTGGCCTCCTGTTCACTCTGACTCTTCTGAGTGACACAGTCCACAGAAAGCCATCTCCACAGATTTGTCTGCTTTTGCTGTGTTTTTTCAGAGACCAGGTTCTTCGAATCCTGGCCAAAGATGAAAAGCAGCTGTCACTTTTCAGAGATCTGGAGAACCTGAAGACCCAGAAGGTGAGGACTGCTCAGGTCTTGAGGACACCCTTACCCCGCCCAGTGTCCTGCACCTTGGTTCCCTGTCTTCCTCCCCACCAAACCTGCCCTCCTGAGGTCTCTGCCAACAGTCACAAAACTATAGAAAAGTCAAATGTGGCTCCCCTTCAGGAAAGCCTGGGCACACTTGCCCACAAAGTTGGGAGGGCTTTTTAGGGTGTGGCTTCTCCAGTTCTCCCTCAGTCCTGCATCGAAGGTAGGGGGCTGCTGAATGGACCCTGAAAATGGATCAAAGTTCCTAAAATTGAATCGGAGGCACATGTCCCTGGAGGGATCTACATAGCACCAAGAATGGACACATCTGCTTCCCATTGGGATGGCTCAGCTTGGCAACCTGTGTTTTACTTGGGTTCATCTCTGCCAGCCCAAGCATTTGTTTCTGACAACATTTGTCCTTTACAAGTTTTTACAAGGGAAAACATTTTCTTTGAGTTTTAATAGAAGGTTTTGTTTGAAGGCTGTTAAAGCAATCAGATACATCTGCAGGTGGTCCAAGGTCCTTGTTCCTGAGTATCCCTATCAGTGAAGACTCATCACACTTTCTAGGTTTCTGCATTTTACAAATTGAGATACATGTAGGACATGGGCTCAAGATTAGGCCTTTCCTACTTCTCCAGCAGTTAGGAGCAATGATGCCTCTTTCTCTGACCTGGGTTTGTCCCAGATGATGAACGTTCTCACCTTTAGGAATTCTTTGGGGTCTTTAGATCTAGGCCAAGTAGCAAAGGGCAAATAAGGAGACAAAGTAGGGGGGGCACTTGGTGACTTGGGGTTTTTGTTTATTTACCCTGGTCTTTCCATTCACTATAGTGTTTTCATTATGGAACTGGAGCCCTTTTAAGTATAACAAGGAACCATTTGGCTCTCCAGGGTGACTCCAGGAATGCCAAAGGAAAGGCAATAAGTGCATCATTTTTCTTTTCTTTGTGAACAAGCTGGACTTCTGGCGTGGCCCAGCCAGACCCAGCCTTCCCGTGGACATGAGAGTTTCTTTTCCTGAACTGGATGACATCAGAGCTTACCTGGAGTCTCATGGCCTTGTTTACAGCATTATGATTAAGAACATCCAGGTGAGGTCTCACCCTGGCCCACAGGCAGGGGTCTCACCTTCCACATTCCTTACACCCAGGCTGAAAGTGCACACTTTGCTTTTGGATCTCCATCTGTGTGTTTATAAATTCGCCATGGAAGGAACTAGATCGCACATCTCTCAGAGGACATTTAAACCTAAGCACAGGGCTCATGGGGCTGGGGGTACTCACAGTGGGGCAGTGGTAGGATGCTGCAATGAATTCTCTCAGGGAGGGGTTTGGAGCTAACAGCAAAGCAGGAGACAGGAAGAATGCAGACAGGAGGAAAGCTCTCAGGTCTTTCCTAGGCCCCTCTGATGGACTTTGTTTTTGACTGCTCCCTCCTGTCTCCCTTCTGTTTCAGCCATGCACTGCCCCGGTGGTGGTGTTGGTGGGATTCATTTTCTCTAGAGAAGCTAGAGGTAGTAAAAGAAGCCTAGTGGGACCCTCGCTACACTTTCCTCCTCTGATGCAGGGCTGTCTGCGGTGGGCTTCTCCCACAGGCAGGACTATGCCAGAGGGATGGCTCTGGAGGAAGCCTGCAGACCTGGCCCTGCATCTCAGCACCCTAACCTCTGGCCTTCACCCCACCTGACACTGCGCAGTCCAGCACCTTCTCTGAGCACCAGGATATTCTGTTTCAACCGTCTTGTCTTTAGTGATATTCAAAGATCCTCTGAAAGGTGCTGGCAGCCCAGCTTCCTTTGGAAATGATTCTTTTGGGCACCACTTAGCCATTCAGCCTTCCACTGCATCCTTTCTCTGATGCTGTTGCTGGCCGTGTACCTGTGGAATTGTATCCACAGAGATTCATTCCCGACCATGATGTTCAGCACTAATCTCTTCTAAGGGCTCCGAGTGTGGGAACACAGAGCCTCCCAGAGTACACACACTTAACATCGAATGCCAAGGGATAAACGCATTAGACAGCATTCCTTTCCCATGTGAGCATAGGGCTGGGGCACTTGGTCCATTCAAAGTCCTTTATCCCTCATCAGGCACATCTGTTTCCCTGCTCAACATGTGGGGGTGGGATGTTTCTCTAATTAAATCCCCCACAAACAAAAATGGAGAAACTTCCACAGACAAAAGAGGCTACCACATCAAAAGAAATAGAATTTAATTCTCATTTTTAGTTCATGCCTCTATTTTGAAGTTTGTATTTCCTTGCTTCTGCTGCACTCTGGGAACCCTGCAGCATTTGGCAAACAGATATGCAGAAATCTTAAAAACTTTCTGTTGAATTCTGCACATCAGGGACAGTCCCAGAGTCACCTCCAAGCCTCTCCCACTGGCTCTGCTGGAGTGGTCCTCTCTTGATTTCCCTCCCATCCTCCTGGGGTTTGCAGTCCCTCCCGGGAAAATGCCCTAACTGTGACAGGCAGGATTTTCCCAAACAAGTCGTGATCTGCTGAGCACCAGGCACTGACTGCTTCCTGGAGACCAAGCTGTGGCTTCCAGGGTGCTGGAAGTGGGCGGCAGCCATTGTTCCCAGGGGGTTTGCAATGATGGTGGGGTAAGGGCCCAGGAGAGGACTTCCGGGTGCACCAGCTGAGGGATAGGAAGGGCTCTACATGACAGAGGGGACCAGGCTTATTTCAGATATTGATGCAACAGGCTTGATTTTTTCTCTGTCCTGTGGATCATCCCAGCCCCCACACTTGGCACAGTAGCCCCCATATAGTGAACCCTTAATAGTTATTCCCAGAATGAATTACCCTATTGTTGTGAGACAGGCATGTGCTTACTGATGTGCTAGTCTTTTCTCCCTAGGCCCTTCCCTCTACTCCTCAAGGTCGGGTTGCACTGGCCTTACCCATCTTGATACCCCTGCGGCTTAGATGGTGCTTAATAAATGTTAGTCGAATTAATGGATGTGATAAGGAAAGGGAGGAAGAGAGGGTGTGTTTGGCACTGGGGCCAGGCTGAGAGAGGGTGAAAAACCTTGCTTTTGGCTTTCATTTTGGCCAGAGACTTGGAAGATTTTTAGGACAGGAAGTGCCTGTTCCCCTGGTTCTGTGATCAGCAGGTGCTTGCGAAAAGATAAGGTGGGTCTGTCTACTCACTCACAGACACAGAGATGCCTACTGTGTGCTGAGATAGGGCAAGGCACTGGAAACACAAAGATACAAAAAAATCCAGGGCTGTATCCAGGGGAGTTGGAGAGTGTGGGGGATGGGGAGGGAGGGAGTCAATCGGTGATTACAATGGAGTGGATGAGTGTACTGATGGAGAGGGAGCAGGTTGCTATGGGAGCAGAATACTAGAGGCGCTGCATGTCTTGGTGCTGAAAAGGTGGTAATTACGGTGTGTGGCGGCTGCAGAGTGGGGAGGGGGAGGGGAGGGGAAGGGAGCCCCCTCCCTGAGTGGCGACCAGGCTGGGGTGCACCACGAAGGGCACCTGCTGCCCTGTGAAGAGGTCAGGATTTTATCCCAAAACCATGGGGAAGACGGTAAGGGGCTTTGATCAGATTTGCATTTCAGAAAAAGCACTGAGACAGTGCCAATGTTGAGTTGGGGACAGGCTGGGGAGAGACAGGCAGGAGGATGGTGAGGAAATTGCAGTGGGCCAGGCAAGAAATTATCTGATTCTGAGTGAGCTCTATTTGCATTTAATTTTTCTTCACCTCCTCGTTCTTTTCAGCCCTTTCGTGCTTTTTTTTTTTTCCCTAGAATGAGTCACCATGGAAAAGCTTCACTTGAGCAATCAGCACTGTGGATTTTAATGGCTTTTTTTTCCTGATTACAAAATTAATACATATTCATGTTAGATAATTTGGAAAATAAGGGAAAATCACAAGAAGAAAACAAAAATCACCCACGCTCTGACCATCCAGAGCAGAATACAATTTGGTAGAAATATTGCTTCACCAATTCCCTCTTCTCTTTTGGATTATTCTCACCTGCATACAAATAGTTATTTATCTCATCTTAAAGAAATCTTCTCTTGATCCCCGTCCCTATCCCCCCTCCAGCCATCACCCCATTTCTCTGCTTCTTGTAAAGCAAAACTCCTGGAAATACTGACTTTTTACCAAGGTGGTGCTCACCTTGGAAAGACACCTGCCCCCCATTTCTCCAAAGCTACGCTTGACTGACAGTGGCAACAAAATGCTAAGTCCAACTGCTGTCAACTCCCCATGTTCACTTTTCATAATCACGCTGTCCTGTTCCTCCCGAATCCCGTCTCTGCTCTCTAGGACCCTGCACTATCCTGGGTTGTCCTGGCTCCCTGCTTCCCCTTTGCCTGTAGTTCTCCTGCTCCCTCACCCGGGATGTGGCACAAACACATCCTACCTCCTCATGACTTGCTTTTTCTCCTGGCTCCAGCCTGCACCTCTCCCTGAACTCTAGATTTCTGTATCTGGCCCCCTCCTCACCATTTCCACTGGGTGTCTAGTGGGCATCTCAAACGCTGCAGGTCACCCCAGTTCCTATCTCCTCCTCCACAGCCTTTCTCAGCTCAGGAAATGGCAATGCCATCCCCCCAAGTCGTCCAGGCAAGGAACTTGGAGTTGTTCTTGACTCTTTTCTTACACCCACGTGCAATCCACCAGCAAATCCCTGAGGTTCTCCCCTCAAAATATATCTCCGCACACCAAGCCTGAGTCTGCAAGCCATTCTCCCTCAGTTGGATTAGCTACAGTGATCCTTTGAAAATCTGTAAGTCCAGTCCTGTCCCTCCTCTGCCTGAAACCCTTCAGTGGCTTCTCTCCAACTCAGAGTAAAAGCCAAAGTCCTTAAAATGATCACAAGGCTCCACATGATCTATTCCCTGTCCAACAATGTGGACTATTCTACCCCTTGATTATTCTGCTGACACACAAGGACCCATGATGTTCCTTGAACTTGCCTGACCCATTCCTGCCTCAGGGCCCTTGCACTTGCTGGCCCTCCATCCTTGGAGTGTCCTCCCTGCAGATATCTGCATGGCTTATTCTCTCACTGCTTTTACAACTGCATTCACGTGTCACCTCCTTTTCCCCCACTACTTCCCTAACTCTCTGACTCCTCCCCCTGCTTCACGCTTCTTGGCATTTTCCGCATTCTCATGCCCTATACAATTTACTGCTTTCCCTTGTTGATTTCCTGCCTTTCCCACTAGACTGGGAGCTCCACAACCAGTTTTGTTTGTTGGCTGAATGCCCTGGTGCCCGAAGTATGTGCTCAACAAATACTTGTTTGCTGGATGGAATGGTTTTAAAGCAGAAATGCTGTGGGCTGGTGTGGGTGGATGTTGGCCCTAAAGAGAAGAAGCAGGGAGGCTTGGAGGAGAAGTCAGGCAAGAAGGGAGCAATTGTGGGCAAGACCTTAAGGGAGAGGCAGAGTCTGGCTGCATCAGGAAGGCAGGAGCGGGGGATTTAGCTCAGTGGTTTTGCTGCCTGCTGAGCGAGAGCAAGGATCCAAGTTCGATCCCCTGTACCAAAAAAAAAAAAAGAATTAAAGCGGACCCAGGTTCCTAGGTTGGGCCATATGAGGACAGGTGCTAACTCAGTGCTCAAGGGGGTATCACTTGTCACCCAAACCGGACAAACACATATTCCCTCTGGAGGAATCCAGATCTCCTTGTCATACCTCGTAAGGCTCCATCACAGCGGCCTGGAGTCACCCCAACAGTCACTGTTGCCCCTGTGGCCATCGCTGGTATCAGCATCATAGCTAACATTTGTTAGCATTTACTACATGTCAGGCAACATGCCTTAGTTCTTCCAGTCCACATGAGAACAATTTAAAGTACGTGCTAAAGTATGCGATGACATGACCATCATTTCATGAGGGGAACTGAGGCACAGGGAAGTTAGTAATTTATCCGAGTCAGTGACAGTGTCCTAACTTGAGACAGCCTGGCTGACCCACACTCTCTGCTCTTGTGCCAGCTGCCTCCTTCCTTGTCGTTTTTGTGTTGTTTTAATTTTGCCCTTTGGTAGTGCAGCCATTGGTTTTCAGCCTTGACCTCTGAGGGGCTCCGTTCTAACAACTAAAGGTCTGCAGCCCCTCTCCCTGAACAACCCTGCCTGTGCATTGTCATTGCCTCTGCCTACAGCGCAAATGTGAGGTGAGGAAGAGAAAGCCAGAGATGAGCCAGGACACTGGCACCATGGAGCTCCCCACTATGTTTCTGGGAAGCTCGGTGCTGACATATCCGGCTTGCTCCAGGCCTCAGCTCCACCTTCAGGCCCTCAGGCTCCTGCTCTCTTCTACCCTGGAGTACTGTTCTTTACTTAGTGCACCCCTCCTTCCTTATCCTTGTCATAAATTAATTGGCCCCAAAGTATTACTGTCTCTGTTAGGTTATGCCTTCCAGGGAGGCAAATGGTTAACTTCTGAGTTTCTTGGTCAACTTCTGAGTTTCTTGGTCTTTTTTGCTTTTTCCTGAGGAGCCTGACAGGGCTGTAATTAGGTATCCTGAGCCCACAGCAAGGCCGCATTCTTAGCCCCCCCCCCCCCATTGACTCTGGGAAGGGAGTAAACATCTGTGCAGTGTTCTAGCCAGAGTAGATTAGTGTTCCTGGAATTGAGGCCCAGCTGTGAGGCCAAGCATTCCCAACTCATAAGAGGGTGTCATATCCATTCACAAGTTTGGGAGGGTGTTTGCAGTTATTTTCAGTGTGGTGCCAGACCTTCCATTTGCTTCCAAGCTGTTGTTGAACACAGGATGGCCTCCTGGGAGCCCTTCCTGTGGCTTCCCTGGCTATGTGCGAAGAACTGGGTCCTCTGGTCCTGCCTTCCCAGTTTCTTCCCTCTGCCTTCCACCCTGTCTCAGATCCCCACCAGAACCTAGTGCCCTGGGCCAGCTGCTGTATTTGCAGCTGTTCACCGCAGCTGGTCATCAACCAACCCATAGTGGTGGGCACATCGGTCATGGTGGGGTGCTGAGATTTCAGTGTATTCCTGAGAAGAAGGCACATTCCTTCTGGTAGAGCTTCCCAGGGTGGTACTTGTCAGGGGTGGCCAGCATGTCTAACTTAACCAGTAATCCCAGCTTTTCCCAAGTGGGAATGCCCAGCCTAGTCAGTCAGCTGGAAAACATTGCAATTAAAATTGCTTAGCATGTAATTGGTGCTCAAACATAAAATAAAATGAGCCTCAGACACTGATTTCTAGTCCCATTTTGAAATCTATGAACTTGAGAGTCATGAGCAAGTGGGTTGGGCCTTCAGGGATGTGTTAGTCATGGACCCTCATCTGTAGCAGGAGGTGGGGGGACCCACTCTGTCAGTCTCAGGATCGAAGCCCACTGCTGCTGCTTCACATTAGCCATTAGGGTTTTTGGGTTTGGCATTATTTATTCACTCATGAGTCCTTACTCATTGAAGTAGGTGAAGCACATTGTCAAACTGAAAAAATAGAGAAAAAATAATTGCTTGAAGTTGTATTCTTCTATCCTAGTAGGTATTATTAGCATTTTGGTGTATATATTTTTGGCATTTTCGTGTCTTATTTCATTATGCCTAGGGGTACTTGGTTTTCATTATCTTAAAAAACTTTTTACTTGCAAGAATACTACAATGGTGTTTTTCAGCTGTTGTTAACATTTTGCAGATTTGTGTCCTCTGTTTCTAAAATATCTATATCTGTCTGTCTGTCCATATATAGAGAGGTATATCTATGTGTTTACATTACCACTGTTGGCCTTTAGCTTTGATAGCTAGCCTCAAGGAACCCAAGGCTAGAAACTAGAATACATGGTTCTTATCTCGCCTCTGTCACTTGTCACTAGTTAGCTTTGCCATTAAGTCATATCATCTCTCTAGTTTCCTTTTTATCCCTAAAATAAGAAGAATTAATCCCTGCATTGGTGTCTTAGTTACTTTTCTTGTTGCTGAGACAAAATACCTGACATCCAAAGTTAAAGGAGGAAAGGTTTATTTGGGCCACAGTTTGTAGAGCTTTCAGTCCACAATTGACTGGCTCCAAGGCAGGGTGGCATGGCAAAGAGGCATCGCAAAGGAGAAGCAGTTCATGGCAGGCAGAAGGTAGCAAAGCAAGCAAAGGACAAGACAAACCTCTTTCTGTCCCTTATATTTTATCCAGGCTACTGGGGTTATGGTGGTGCCAAACCAATCAGTGAGCTGTTTTAGTAATCACCTACTCTTAATCCTAGCACCCTTAATCCTAGCATTGCACCATGAATCAGTCACACACTCCAGATTCAGTCACTTTTGAAAAAGCCCCACCTATGAGTGCATGAGGCTCTGGAGGGTACATCTAGACACAAACCATAACACCTGGGATCTAGTCATCTGACCATATCAAGTTAGATCATGAGCAGAAGGATGCTCTGTAAACAAGAAGGCTCTGGCCCAAAAGAAAGATCATCCAGACTCACTTGTGACCTGGAGCTGTAAACAAGAGACACTTTGGGGTTGACAAGGGTGCTGATCAGCATCCTGTGTGACACTTCCCACACTGGACAGTCAGTGCTGAATCCTGGGGTGCCTTAGCCCCTGAGTGCCAGGATAAGTTTATAAGGTTGGGTGAAGAACACTTGCCCAACTCACCGTGACCAAAGCTAGGAAAGTATCCAGGATGTAGGGAGTTTCTATGGTCACTGGGAAGTGCATATGAGGGCTGACTACCAACACCAAACTGGCACACAGAACACTGCATTTTGCTCCCTCATATTTGTGTTTAGAAGACAGCTGACATGGTACGTGAAAGATCACTGGGACACCAATCATGATTGAGACTGTGTTTGTCCATACCTGTCTTTCCAAATGGTGTGGACACCAGTTGTCTAGGCTACTTTCTAAGAGGTGGTAGAGTTGAGTGTTGGAAGTCAGAGGAATCCTCTGCTCTCCCCTGGGGGTCAGTGCCCATGAATCAGCCTGGGTCCTGATTCAACAGAATGTTAATGAATGTTGGCAGTAGACCAAGAATGTCCTTTCCAAAATGGCGTCATACCCATTATTACGTTCTGTCCTATGAGGTAACAAGACAGATATTGCTGCCCCAAATTTCAATCTAGGGAAACTAAGCCCACAGCTAGTTCTACAATGAGTTGGTAGCAGAAGCAGACCTAGAACCTGGCTGTCCAGACTCCTTATCTTGTGCTTATTTGAAAAATGACAGTGTGAATGCCAGTCAGCCAGCAGAAGAGTCCCTAGCACTAGTCTTTCATCATGTGGCACATTTTCACAGTGTCTTGGTCCCCCATGTCAATGCCATCTTTATGCACAGACAACCAAGGCTGGGGTCCAAAGTGGCAGGCCAATCCAGCCCTTGCCTGCCCTTCTGATGCATGTTCCATCTCGTAGGAGCTGCTGGATAAGGAGAGGGAAGCCATGGTGAAGGCTTGCCGACTGGAGTGCAGCACCAGTAGCTTCAGCTACTCTTCTTACCACACCCTGGAAGAGGTGAGCCTGTCTGGGTCAAGCTCCAAGCTCTCTCATGCCTCTGATCCCCTTACATTCCAGACTCTGACAGAGACCAGTGGAGGTCTATGGGAGGCTGTGAACTTGAGAAGACATTAGACAGTCTGTTAGGCACTCAGCTTTAAGTGGCCCAGAATCCAGCACACAGATAGAGGGGACTTCAGTTCAACAGTACAGCCCTAGGTGGTATGGAGCAGAATAAAGAGTCTATCGGGCAAAACACTAACTACTGGGCAGGGATCTATTATGGGCCAGAACAGGGTCAGCAGAAGCTACCTTGATATCACATCCTCTGGTTAGGGATCCACTGACTTCTCCATGACCAGTTTTGGTGTTTGGTGGCCTCACCTGTAGTTGGTTGATAATATAAGGGGTAGGAAGCCAGGCACATTAGAGAATCAGAGTTGCCTTCACTTGGAGAAAATTCATGATCACAGTGAGATAGCTAGGGCAGATATGACAGATGGTGACTTGTTTATAAAGGACAGTGTGCAGGAAAACATAAAGGAGGGAGCAGAGATAACCACTCCAGAAGGAAACGCAAGGCACAGGTCTCAATTTTATGTTAAGGACATAACATTGTCAGTATTGTCCACTCTGTTATTATCATCATTTTTCCCATTTTACAAGGTCTATACCAGGGGATCCATTTTCTTATATTGCTTAATTATGTGTATTGAAAGAACAAGAGAATGAATTAAAATGGCTGCCTAATTACTGATACCAGAGATCAATAAAACATGAACTCTGCCTTCGAGTGGCTTACAGTCTAAAAGGGATTAAAAAAAAAAAAGATAGGACTGGTGATTTAGCTCAGTGGTTCCAGCACCTGCCTCAAAAGCGAAAGGTCCTGAGTTCTATACCCGGTACTAAAAAAAAAAAAAAAAAAAACGATAAAGAAAACAACACTGCAAGGTGTGTGTAAATCTGTCAAATGGACTGAAAGGGCCAAATAATGAAGGTGAGAATTTCCAACCACAGAGAGTCATGGAAGCCCTGGCTGGGGACTTGAGCAGGCTCAGCTCCTGCTCATCTCCCAGGCAAAGGTGAGTGCTTCTGTGCAGGTTCGAGGGCCTGGCCATTTGGCCAATCACACTCACTGCCCTGAGCACCGAGGGCATCTTCAAGGTTTAGACTCCCAAGGGAGTGGAAAGCAATGCAGAGAGTAGATGAGGATAGGGAGGAGAATATCAGAGGCATCTTGGGGTTCACCTGTCTCCCTGATTACCTACCAGTCTGACAGACTTCATTTCTTCCAGATCTACAGCTGGATCGACAACTTTGTAACTGAGCATTCAGACATCATCTCCAAAATTCACATTAGCAACAGCTTTGAAAACCAGTCCATTCTTGTCCTGAAGGTAGAAGCTCAGGAACGACCCAGAGACTACAGTGACAGCCTGTGGCCTAAGGTTGAGCTCACAGAGGCAGTTGTGGGTGGGAGTTTTGAGGAGAAGGAAGGCATGTACATCCCTGTCCTCAGGCGACATTGAAGTGAAATGTGACACTGAGGGACCCACCCTTGTAGTATGGACAGGTGACAGTGTGGTGACCAGGCAGGAAGTAGTGGGAGGGTTGCTAAGGAGTTGCAGCTAAGGAGTTCCAGCTACAGAGTGGCAGTTGTCTCCCTGGACTGGGGGTGTGGGCGTGAGTGAGTCAGTGCTCTTCCTGTTGCCTTGGTTGCTTCACCTGCTAAATAGGTAAAGTTAGGTACATAGAGGGTTCATTTGATGATGACTGAGGTCATCTGGCTCAGGGCATCCCACAGATAGGCCTGAGTCTCTGGAGAAACCTCTCGACCCTTGACAGGGGCCCCCAACAAAGAACTTGAGCAAACTTGGCAACTAGAGGGCCCTTGGCATGAAGGAGGCAGGATGGATGAGCACACCAGAAAGCAGTTCTTAGCAGGTGCCTTAAAAGGTATCCTTGGGCCCTGCAGGGCACTTGATGCTAGATTTGAGGAAAGATAAGCCCTGCAGCCCTCAACCATGCTCAGCTGGACACTCCTAAACAGCCTCATGGCCTCATCTAACTTGGCCCTTGGCCTCCCCTGTTCTGCTTCCATCCCCCCACCAGACGCTGTCACAGTCTCTCTGCAGTGTTGTCTAGGACGTCGCTACTGAAAGTAGTCCTTGCACAGAAGCATCCCCTTCCCTTGGGAGTGTGCATGTTAGAGATGCCAAGCCTCAGACCCTCCGGCAGCCCTGCTGAATCAGAATCTCCCCTTGGGCTAAGCATATCTGGCACAGGGAGCCATCCCAGGCAGTGTCCATGGCTCCGGGGCCTCCTTCCAGGAAGCCCAGCAAGAGTTTCTTTTTCCCAGTTCAGCACTGGAGGCTCTCAGCGCCCCGCCATCTGGGTAACAGGATTCACTCCCGGGAGTGGATCATTCATGCCACTGGCATCTAGACTGCCAAAAAGGTTAGCAGGGACCTGCAGCGAAGGGGCACCCATGACGGGGGCTGGAATTGCTGGGGGGGCCTGCTTGAATATTTAAGTCACCTCCTGTTGAAAAATTAACCTTCATTCGCTCAAATTCAGGGTGCTCTATCCCTGCCTGCCCTTTGGAACAGCTACCAGGAGCTCTGGCCTTTTGCAGCACAGAGTCCGTGTTCATCCTCTGCCTTCCAGTTGCTTAAAATTCAAACCTTTGATTTTGGATGGCCCAATGCCACCTCTTCCTGCAGCTACTGGCTGTGCAAATGTACTGCTCTACCTCCAAGGAGATCCTAGCAGGGCCCTATACCTCTCAAGCTTTCTTACAGATTGTTAGCGAGTACGGCAAAGACCGAGTCCTGACAGACATACTGAAAGTCATGGACGTCTTCATAGAGCTTGTCACCAATCCTGATGGGTTTGCTTTTACCCACAGCATGGTAAGGACATGTGGGAACTTGGGGATCAGAAGTCAGTTCGGGGGAGGGGGTAAGGAAAGGTCTCCATGGCCTCTGGAGCCAGCCCCTGCATAGAGCCTCGCTGGGGGCAGGAGGACTGCTCAGTACTGCAAGCATGGCCTCTTGCACTCCAACCCCTGCCCATTGCCCAGAGGACACCTTGGCAGCTTGTACTCTGGCCTCTCCCTAAACCTTGACTTCAACCACAGTGTATCCGACCTGCAGCCGTGGCCCAGCCCCATCCTGTCCTGGGGGCTCTTCCCTCTGCTCCTCCCTGCCCCACCAGACCGCTTTTCCTCAGAGTGCCAGCATTCCCATGCCCTGGGAAGTGGACCCAGTGAATGAGGTCACTTGACCTGGGCTTTCTTAGAACTGCTTGTGGCGAAAGAACAAGTCCAGCAGACTGGGAGTCCCCTGTATCGGTGTGGATCTCAACAGGAACTGGAAATCAGGCTTTGGGGGTGGCGTGAGCTGTGGTCCTGGGCAGGCTCTCCCACACTGTCAGGTTAGGTTGCCTCATACTTGGGAGGCAAGGACAACACTGTTAGCTAAAATATGTGCGTCATGGTCAGGGCAGGCAAACATGTGCCCAGCATTGGCCCTGGGCTATGGCAGGGGTTGCATGTGCGTGTCAAATATACACATATACAAGCTTTCATGGATCATTAAGGGAGCTCCCAGCTCTTGAAATGAGGACAACTGCAAGGACCAAATCCTGAACCAAGCAGGAGGTACAAACTAGTCTTGCCAGTCATTCAAAACCCAGAGTTTACAGTACATCCAAAATGTCCCTAGCCCTTCCCTAAAGGGAGTACAACCCAAGGAAATGTCCCTGAACTTATTCCCTGAGAGTTGTGACCTGAAATTTACCCTGTGGGAAGGTCAGAGTAATAGTTCCAAATAGAAGGAGCCAGATTCCTACCACTGGAGCTAGTTTTGATTTTGGGCCAGTTACTTTGTGACCCTGTGTAGGGAACAGGGGAAGGGGACGTTACCAGAGCCTCTGCAGTGAGTCCTAATCTCCTGCGAGCCACGGCAGCACACGGCGAATTACAGGAAAGGTAGACAAATGAGACTGAGAAGAAGCTGAGCTTTGGGTCTGATCAGTGCTGCTCTGGGCAGCAAAGACAAAAGCCCCCAGCTTACCGCACCTTTGATTCAGTCCATCAGGAGAAACAGATGTAACAAATGACTTGGGGAGAGTTCAGTACATCCACGTAAACAAGGTGTAACAATCCAAGAACAGTGAGGAACTGAGTAGATGTTTGTTCCTCCCAGGATGTCTTCAGCTGGTGTAATCTTGTCCTGGAGCATCACAGCATCACTGGATCATTGAGGTCTCAGTTGTGACCCGAGGCCAAAGTGAATTACGTCTTGGAATTCCATAGCTGGGCTGTAGGCAGGAGAACTAGGCTCACCAAATGATTTTTCCCTAAAATTATGTAGCATTGCTCCCGACATTTCTCCCTTTCTTTTTGTTTTATGTGAAGGTGTTTTAGGAAAAGCAAGCACACCCAACAATGGCTTGTCCCTATGTATTGCGAGGATCTATAGTGTGTTTGACTGGCTTAGCTGTCTATAATAAGCATAATTTCTCTTAATTGGGGCTGTAAAAGGATTAAAAATCTAACAATTTTTTTTTAAACATTGGGTTTAAAAACTTAAAACTTTTGTTGAACTCAAATAACTACTGTCTTTAGTTATACTTTTCTACTGGGTGTTTAAGACCAAGTTACAGTGAGACCTATAGTAAATAAAAATCAACCTCTTGCTCTCTAACAAGGTCAATTGAGTCTCCGCAGACACTGTCTTGGAACCATGCATAGAGCCTCTTAGCTCCTCTGTCAGTGTCAGCCATCAGGATGTGTCACGGCCTTGCTTGACCATGTTGCCTTCTGCGAAAGCATGGGAGATTTTTTTCCCCCAAGTGCCATTCCTTTAGCACACTTTTTGTTGTACCTTTACTGTTTTGGTGTTCAGCAACCTCCCTGCTGCTCAGGAGGTTGGGTGACTCACCAAAGATGCAGGATCTTGGAGAAAGTTCCTCATGACCTGGATCTTTTTGCTATTCTTGTTGACCTTGGAGGGCCAGGGCCAAAATATTGGTTGCCTTCTTAGCCCAGGTTCCTTTTTTAGTTCTGGTCTCTAAACTTGGTTGTTGAACACCCAGAAGAGAAGATCAATAACGTTAGCATTGTAAGAGGAGTAGTGAACTGAACTATTATAATTTTACCTGGATATTAAGCATTTTGGAATAAAAATATAGTTAAACTGTTATTATTGCCAATTATGGTTGTTGTTGTGGTTGGATCCCTGAGTAGCTATCTTTTTATAGGATGTCATCTAAGGAAAATATATCAGCCTACAAGTGCGCTTATTATCATAGGTGGCTGGAGTGTAAGAGAAAGGCAAATATCTGAATCAAAAGGTTATTACCATAAACAATATATTGAAAGACCCATACAATTAGAGGGCATGAATACATTTTGTACACCAAAAAAGGACCAGTAATCAATATCACAGTTATGTTCCTCAATGTAGTTTGGTACCAAAAATATCTTTCTAATAACACTCTTTTGTTTATGCCACAGAAATTAATCTTTTGAAAATAACCAATGTAGACATATCACAATAACATTTTTAGAACTTAACCAATATAAACATTTTATAATAACATATGTAGAATTTAAATTTCAATGATAATCAATGTGATCAATTTATAATAACACAGATAGTATTTATTGAGGTGTGTCTCCCATAAGATTATGAAAACTACTAGGGGGTCCCTTTAGTGAATTAAGACCAGAATAATTATTTTCTGGGCAGCCTCTTCTTTATTCACTTAAGGGAGTCCCCACGGTCTCTATGCACTTCTTGGTGGCACTTTGATAAGTTAGCAACCTGGGGGGAAGAAGGGCATGCCTTTAATTTAATAACATTTATCTGTAAGCCAACCCAATAATAGGTGAATATCTTTTAAGGAAAAAAATTTTTTTTTTCAAAAGGTGAAAAGGAAAAGAAAAAAATTTGAGCTCAACTGTACAGATGGACAAACAGACAACAGACAGACATATAAGACAATTTATAAAATTAGAGTGCACTCAAATATATTTGGCCAAACTGAATTATAATATCCTTTTTATGATTATTAGATTTATAATTGTATATGACTAGTCAAAAACTTTAGTAGTCAATTAACAGATCTCTTGAAATTAGAATCAGAAGGAATGAAAGTGCTTTTATACTTGTAAATATAAAAAGAACATTTTCAAGTTGTCCCCCCCCTTTATAAATTTTTTACCATAAATCTATAATTATTATTCCTCTGGGGGCATCATCTCAGTACTGGGCCTCGCTGTGGATGTGTTGGTCGTCGCTGGTGAGATGGGTCACTCAGGTGCAGCTGGCTCATCGCTCTTAGCTGGGGTGCTATAACCCATTCTCCAAGATGCTGGCGGTTCCACCAGTGTGACCCACGGTCTCACATTCCGGGAGGGCAGCCACAAAGTTTCATCATTATCTGTCAGGACACAGGCAAAACCTCTCCCCCAAGTTACTAAGGCAGGAGCAATTTTTTGACATATGGCCTTTTGTAATCTTAAAAAGTTTAATAATTTAGGTTCTAAGGTAGAGCAGACCATAGCTCCTTCCAGTCTTTGAGTCAACCAAACTGCCTAAGAGGAGTCACTTAAAATATTAAGAGGTTGGGGAGGAAAGTTTTCAATCACAAATATAATGGCTAGCAACTCTGACCTGAGCAGAGTGGACTAAGGCCCAAGTGGAGAGCGTTCTGGGGGAGAGATGATCACCCCTTCGCCAGGCCTCACAGAGAACGGTACCCACATGTTCCCATGCTATTAAGTTAGTTGTCACTTCCTGGGGAAAAGATGGGACGTACATTTGTATGTCTCTTAACGAATCTATCACAGCATCCTTAGGTACTGGGTACATAGCTTGCTTTAACAGCGACTTAAGTAAGTTGGCAAAGTTACGCTGTCCGATGACAGAGACTGACCCATAGTTGTAACTCAGCAAAGATAGAAAATTACCCCCAGCTGGACACACTTAACACCAGTGTCCTTCGTCTGAGTCTGGAAATCGTCCTGGGAGATCCGTCTGCTGTCACTCTTACTCCAAGTTTGTCTCACAGGCGAGTTCAGTCCTGGATCCGATTCACATCCAAGTTGGGCGCCAAATGTAGGGAACAAGGGAAGGGGACGTTACCAGAACCTCTGCAGTAAGTCCTAGTCTCCTGTGAGCCACGACAGCACATGGCGAATTACAGGAAAGGTAGAAAAGTGAGACTGAGAAGAACTTGAGCTTTCAGTCTCATCAGTGCTGCTCTGGGCAGCAAAGACGAAAGCCCCCCCGCCTTACTGCACCTTTTATTCAGCACTCAGTACATCGGGAGAAACAAATGTAACAAATGACTTGCAGAGAGTTCAGTACATCCTGGTAAACAAGATGGTAAAGGTCCAAGAACAATGAGGAACTGAGTAGATGTTTGTTCCTCCCAGGATGTTCTCAGCTCCCAGGATGTTTCTTGTCCTGGAGAATCACAGCATCACCAGATCATTGAGGTCTCAGTTGTGACCGGAGGCCAAAGTGAATTATGTCTTGGAATTCCATAGCTGTGCTATAGGCAAGAGAACTAGGCTCACCAAATGATTTTTCCCTAAAATTATGTAGCATTGCTCCCGACAACCCTGAGCTGGTGGATAGGCAGGATGGTGCATGTCTGCAGGGCTGTATGAGCCCATTGCTGAGGCTGTGTGGGGAGCTTGCTCTTGAGTTCATTGCTGTTCTTCTGTGATTCTCTCTTCCTCACCATGCCATGGGAAGGGAGATTAGTTGTTGAAACTGAGCATGTCCCCTCCACCCCCAAAGCCCAGAGACAATACATGGACCCCAGAAATGCAATAGTTGGATGGGTGGGATGCTGGGTCCAGCCGAGATAGAGTCACCAGAATACACATACCATCCTTGGCCTCCAGATGTGGTGTCCACACTTTGTGGGGATGGGTGGGGGAGTTTGATCCCAGAGGGGACAGTGCTATTGCTATTGACATGCAGATCCATAAGCTGATGGTCAGACCCGTTGGCAAAGAACGTTCTAGATCTGGGTCCTCATGGCTCTAAAAACCTGGCTTCTTGTGGTCCTGTGCTCATTGAAAATTAAGTACCGTTCTAAAGCATTAGGATTGAGGCCCCCTTAGCCCACACAGTGGGCTCTGCGGACCACTGCTATAAGGAGTAGGACTGTCAGGCATTTCCGCCTTCATATGACCAGAAGTTTGTCCTGGGTAGGCATCCAGGTGGCCCTACAGCACCAACCACAGTCAGTGTCCACAGATCTTCAGATAGCCTAGCTCAGAGAAAGACAAATTACCTCTACAAGAAAATAACTTTTGTGGGTTTCTCCACAGGGGCGGGGGCGCGGAATCCCTGTACGTATACAATGTAAAAAACAATTATGGAAAAAAAAGCCCAGAGGGGCCAAAAACCTCCATAATCCCACTACCCAAAGATTACTGCTTTTAATAATTTACTATGTCCTTCCAGAGATTTCCCTTTGCTACAAATTACATTTTTAGAGAAGGAAAAATAAATAGCTAATGAATCCATTAGCAGGTACTTGTGAAATAGGCAGGCTCAGAGGACCTTGACTGTGAACGTCAGAGAGGCAGGCAGCTAATTCCCATTTGGTTAGGGGAAGATTAGTTTATTCTGCTTAGCTCAGACCAGAACTAATGGCCTGAAGTGTTTCTCCATATTTGGGCAAAGCCACCTGGTCGTTGGCAGGGGAACCGTTCTTGTGCGTGGGCTGCAAATGCAGACAAAGCTCTCAGCCTCCCTGCTCAGCTCATCTGTTGCTATTTGTCATTCATCAAGGGGAGCAGGTGCAGGAGCTCAGGGCAGACACAACAAACAGGGCCACTGTTAGCCAGGTCCACACCAGCCTGGGGGCTGCCCCTCACCCTCTTGTCCTCGGCAGGCTTGTCTCCCCTTCTAATCAGAGTCCCCCATGGCACAGGCGAGGACAGCCAACCAAGAGGGGATGTGCTCTCAAGTGACAGGATGGCCTCTGGGCTGGTGACTCAGGTGGGAACATTTTGTTTATGGATTTATGATTGCCTGGGTTTAACTGCGGTGTCAGGAGTAGTCTAGAGGCTGTCCTTCCTCCGACACCTGCCGACACCTGCCCTCACCTGCACTCTTGAGAGGACCAGTCTGCTGCATTGCTGAGCCTTATCTGAACTGGTCACTGGGCTGGTCTGCTGGTCAAGGGAAAAAGGGGTGCTCTGGTATCATCAAGTGGCTTCAGAACTTGGGAAGAGCCCTAGCCTCTGACCTAGGCTTAGATGCAGTTATTTCGGAGGGGCAGGGGGAAGAGAGGCTGGGATGGCTCCTTCCCCATATGTCTATAACCCACAAATCTTGACCAGCCCTGCCCAGCCCTCCACAACATGGCCCTTGGGGTGGGACCACAAGAAGAATGGAAGAGGGAAGAAGGAGATGAAGAGGGCATGGGAACAACTTAAACTTGTCAAAAACTAGAAGCACATTTCCTCTTTGCCCTTTCCTCCACATAGCCCCCCAAGAAGAATTTTCAAAGACTTCTTGCACTTATTCTCAGATCAGCTTCAGGCAACTATGGGGATGTGTTCTGTCCTTTCCTAGCCCCCAAGTCCATAGAGCTCCTGTGGCCATGGCTGTGGCAAAGCTTAAATGACACCAAGACTGAGCACTCAGCAATGAACTCAAGAAGGGCCAGCCAAAGGCACTGCTGCTCAGTAGGGGAAGCTGGGATTGGGGCAGAGACCTCAGATGCCCTATGGATGTAGCTTCTGAGGCAGGCCTGCCTTTCCAGTGGAACCCCAGTCAGGATGTACCCAAAGGACAAGCCCAGGGGCCTCCTTGCTGGGATAGAGTTGCTTAGTGTGGTTGTGCATCTCTGATCTATAAGACTAAGGTGTGCAGCAGTAACAAATACCCTTCCAAATTTCAATGGCTTAATACAACAAAAGTTCTTTTTCATGAATGCAAAATCCAGTGTGGGCAGGTGACTCTCCTTGGCAGGTCTCTTCCAGTGGTGGCAGAGGGACCCAGGATGCTGCTTTTATCTAAAATATTTTGCTTCTGCCCAGACAAACTGATTAGAGTGTGGGGAAGTCATTCTTGCTCTTAACAGACTCAGCCTAGAAATGATACATCATTTCTGCTCATTTTCATTGGTCAGAAGTGGTCACATGACCTGAACCAAATTGCAAGGGAGGCTGGGAAACATCAGGGAACATATGGGTATTTTATGAGGACTGTCTGTGCCACACCCAGGAATTTCAACCCTTTGAGTGGTTTTATTTTACTTCTAGGAAATGGTTCCAACAGCAGCTCTTGCTCAGAGACTTACCACAGGCTCTTGCCTCAGTCAGAGCCAGAGGTGGCCACCATTGTGGACTTCGTCACAGGCCATGGGAACTTCAAGGCTCTGATCTCCATCCACAGCTACTCTCAGATGCTCATGTATCCATATGGCCACTCTGTGGAACCTATTTCAAATCAAAAGGAACTGGTAAGACAGGCTGCTTAGAGCTTGGGGAGGAGACCTCTTCCTATGAAAATCTGTATCTGACACATTTCCAGAGGGTTCAGGCTCAAACTCCTCAAAATGAAGGTCTGACCACTAGATCCCATACTAGGAAGGACCGGAAGCTTGTTTTTCTCTGAGATCAAGTTCAAGGCTGGAGGTGTTGTTTTCCCTTCTCAGAAGAGTTGTCTGCATCATCAACTTCTGGGACTAAGTTTCTACTTCTCACCAGTTGCTGAGGGTGCAGGGAGTATGGAAACTATTTTGAGCCCCAGCCACTCCTTCTCTGCTGTTGTCTTGCAGTACAGTCTTGCCAAGGATGCAGTGAAAGCTCTGTACAAGGTGCACAGGAGCAAGTACATTTTTGGCAGCATCAGCACTCACTCTGTGAGTGAGCCTCCCTGGCTACTGCTGCAGGTGCCACATCTACCTGGGGTCAGGCAGGTGCGGTCTGAGCTTATTGGTGGCCCGGCTGGGCCAAATCTGCCTGTCACATCTGGAGAACAGGGTGGATGGTGGCACCCAGGCACCT